AATGAGCTTTTAACATATACATGATGGATTTGGTTTTGAAATTAACCATGGGCCAATCAAATTTGGTTTGGATTTGATCTCAATTGGTCTTACACATGATGAAATTTAGTATGGATTTGAAATTGGAGAAATTTGAAATGAATTTGGGAAATTTGGGGTGATTTGGGAATTTTTGGTACTTAGGGGTAATTTGGGAATTATGGCCAACTTTGGTAGATTTGGGGAATTTTGGGTGCAAATGGGAAAACTGGATGACTATAATAGGTTTTGGTGAAATTTTGAGTGAAATCGAGGATTTTGGCAATTTTTGGGTTTTGGGGGCATTTTGGTAATTTTTGAAGGTGTAGGGATATTTTGGTTATTTTGTGGTACTTTGGGGGTTGGAGACCAAGGTAGGATATTTAGGTGGAATTGGTCATTGGATATGCTAATCATGAAATCACCCTCCTTGTGCCATGAGACTAACGGGAGAGCCCATTTTGGATCTTCCATGTGTTGGTCCTAGCCATCCTAGCCAAGGGCTAAGGGTTTGGGGACCACCCATGAGTTTCAAAAACCAGTTAGAGAAAAAGGTCAAGTGTGACTGATTTTAAAGTTTTGGGAATGTGTGTGATAGGTTCAAGTGTTTGTGTAAGCCTGACCAAGACGAAGCCACCCAGGGCTAACCCTAAGGCCTGATAATCCTATGGGGACTCCCTATGAGCTTCCCCATGTTAGTTTCATCCTTTTAAATGCTAGAGGCCAAAACCGTACATATGGAACTCTAAGAAGAGTAAAGAGGTTTTTAGAGTTTCTATATCACTAGTCCTCTATGATAGTCAACAGGAAATTTCTACTGCTAGATCCTAGGTTCCTAAGAGAAGAAAACTAGACCTCAACAAAAGTGAGGTCAACAATGTGTCATCAATAAATTATCATCGGGCATGAAACTTGATGCATTTTGAGCAAGAAACATTCCAAATTCAAATTCAAGACAATATGAGCCTCAAATTGAGTGGCTCAATGAGAGGAATCCGACTAACCTAACATAACTCAATTTTAAGGTTATTAAAGCACTTCAATGTTAAAAAAAAATTAAATCAGTATCGATCATTTAATGGAGTGATTTGAGATTCTGACTAAATTTACTAAAATGACTCTATAAAAAACTATAAAAAGAAGGGGGGGGCGGAGTTTATTGTGAAATGTCTACCAAAGCTTAATTCTTAAGTCTCAACATTTGTTGCTAGTCACCTAAGATCATGGTTGATTGCCATAGTTCACTGCTGACACCAGAGGTCTTTGTCGTCTATGAGCCATTGTTGACCACCACTAATAATAATTATAGCTAATTACTATTGTTAAATCGATCAACTACAATTTATATGATCAATTACAACTTCTATAGCCAATAAGTTTATTGCGACATGACTACCAAAGCTTAATTCTTAAGTCCGACATTTGTTGTCAATCACCTTAGATCGTGGTTGATTGCCAGAGTTCACCGTCGATCATCAAAGCCGACGCAGAAGTCTTTGTTGACTATCAACCATTGTCGACCACCATCAATAATCATTAGCCCATTACTATTGTTAAATTCATCAACTACAAATTATATTATCAATTACAACTTCTATAGCCAACTATGATTATTATAGTCCCACCACGACTATTGTAATCAGAATATAACAATTATAGTCTAAATTATTCTTTCATAATTATATTTGTTGAGTTATTTGAAAGCAGTGATGATTTCAACATCATCTTGAAATCTCTTCTTTCCTAATTCAGTGAATAGTGAAACTTTATACTCCTAATTATATAGTGAATTATTATAACTGAGCTAAAATTCAAGATTTTTTATCACATAAAAATAAAATATGATATCTCCTCCTATGATTTTTATTTATTCTTTGTGTATGATGGATTTTATGATTAAGTCCTTAAATTATCAATGTATGACCGTGAATTTTCTAGCATACAACAATAATAATTTCAACTTATAATTTATTCTTGGTTAGAGAGAGAGAATAAAGAAGGCGAGTCATAACAGACCCTCAAATGTTCTCCAAAGTTGTGCAATAAGAGATTTTTTTTATGCATATAATAGAGCCTCCAAATATCTTTCTTTCCGGTATGATAGGAAGAGCACAATATAAAAAACTATAGAAACTATGGGTCTGTTTGGGAGCGCTTTTTAGGTGCGGTGCGGACATTTGCCGCAGCTTTTCGCGAAAGTCATCTGTTTGGTTCGTGACTTCGGGCATTCAGGCGGCGGAAGTGGAGTGAAAGGGGGCAGCGGCATTACCATCACGTCTCCCGCTTTCGGCCAAAACTTTTACCCTTTACTTTGCGTCTACCCTCGGTGATTTCCCGCTGCTTCCCCGCATCTACCCTAGGTGATTCCTCACTGCTTCCCTCGCGTCCCCTTCTCCTTCTCCTCTTTCGTCGTCCCTCACCGACAGAGCTAAGGTAAGAAGAGCCATTTTCTTCTTCTATTTGCCGATCTGAGGAAGAATGTACGTTTTGCGGCTCCTAATGTTTTCTCCTTCTCACCTCTTTCCTGTTTCTGCAATTTTTCCTTTCTCCTTCTTTCCTGTGGTGGATCTGTAGCTTATTAACGAAGTATGGCTTTTTCTTAGTTTGATCTTTTGTCACATGAAAAACTACTTCATTTTTTACGTGGATCTGTAGCTTATTAACGATTCTTACCCGAATCGAGCTCTTAGATTTGCGATAAAATTGGCATTGTCCATCCAAGTTGCAGATCTAGCGCCCGTTTAAGCATGTATGAAGTGTTACATTAGAGATTGTTTTGTAGAAACACTGTTGAAGCAATTACACTGTTGTTGGATCAATTACTGTAGAAGCACTTATAACCTTAGAATTATATGCTCTGTGTTCATTTGAGAAATACTGATTTCTATTCTTTATAGCCTCTTAAGAACTATGTTATCTATTTTGCTCCTCATTTGAAATAGTTGCTTCTCAGTTTGGCTAGTTTCTTGAATATTTCTTTGAACTCAGCAACTTGGTTATTTATATGGTTGTGTTAAATGGATTTTGTGGATTTAAACATGTTTCTCACATACAAAAAAAAAAAAGGAAGAATGTCTGCTCTTTAGTTTTTGGGATTTTGTTTTATTGCTATAAACATTTTTATTTGCTTAACCTTCAAACTATCGGGGTTTTCTTTGGTTTGGTGTGTTGAAGCTGAACCTTGAAATTAATAGTTTTTTAATTTTTTTTTCTATGGTTTGATGGAGCCGGTTTTTTGGAAATCTGATGGTTGTTTTGCTTGGGTTTGCTGAAGCCGAACCTGCAGAAATCCATGATAACTGCGAATATCTTATGTTGTTTTACATTATAGATTGTTTTGTGGTTTAAACATTTATGCATCTGCTAATGGAAGATTGCCGTTTTGGAAGTACCATTCAAAAAAGGATATACATATATAACATCGGGTTATACATGAATCATATACTTTAACAGTTCTTTACGATTTCAAATCATCGGGTTATACATTTTAATTTGACTATTCCTTTCATGAATATAAAAGGATTACATATATAGCATACACAACCTTTTTCCTTGTCGATATGGCTGTTTTATGGTGAAAATTGATCATTATATTCTTCATGAGAGTTGGATTATTGTAAGGAAGAATTCATTGTTATATCTTCCTTGATTAGGGGTCAGTGAATGTATGAGTTATATTTAATGGGGTGAATTTGTTGATTCACCTAACTTTCTCTTGTATTCTTTCAATCGGTTTAAATCATATGAGGATTTTATGCTTATTCTGAGCCGTATGGATTGCGAAAGCATCTTCTTGGCTCTTAGTGAATGGATCCATGAGATATGTTTCTTTTAAGGAGCCAATATTTTATCTCATATTATTCATGGTTTCTTTTTTTGGAGAACTTGGTCATTTCTGAAATGAATACATGGTTGTTGGCTCAATTACTGTAGAAGCACTTTTATCTCACCATGGCTGTTTTGAACTCATCAACTTGTTAACTCATATGATATAATTGCTCAAATTTTGTTATAATTGACATTCATCAAAATTGATAACTATGTTATCAATTTTGCTACTCATATGTTCTAATTGCTTCTCGATTTGGCTAGTTTCTTGAATATTGGTTTGAACTCATCAACTTGGTTATTTATATGGTTGTGTTAAATGGATTTTGTGGATTTAAACATTTTGGTTTGGTTTGTTGAAGCTGAACCTTGAAATTGCTGAACCTTCAAAGTAGAAGGGTTTCCTTTGGTTTGGTTTGTTGAAGCAGAACCTTGAAATTGATAGTTTTGTTATTTTTTTACTTTTGTTTGATGGAGCCGAGTTTTTGGAACTCTGATGGTTGCTTTGCTTGGGTTTGCTGAAGCCGAACCTTCAGATATTCGGCAGCCTTCCTTTACTGTTTATTGGTAATATTTCTATGTACTTGGCAAGCTGGAACTTGGCAAGCTGACAGTGGTAATATTTCTATGTATGAATCAAAGGGGTGTGTTGGCAAGCTGGCAGTACTGTATTTCTATGTATGAATCAAAGGGGAGGGAGTAATGTACGAATCATTATGGATTTTTTGTGCTTCTAGGAGGGAGTACTGTATGAATGAAAGCTTTGTATCTTCTTCTTTGATGCTATAATAAAGTTATTGGCCTCCTTTTCTGTGGATGTAGGTCATGTTGACCGAACCACGTTAAATTTTATGTACTTTTTTTATTTTTATGCTTTCTTTAATCATTTTTTTATATTCTTATGCTTTCTTTAATCATTTTTTTAATCGAATACTCTATTGTTGTGTTTCATATTTTTGCTTCATCGTAGTAGTAACATGACTGGTAAGGCTAAAGAACATGGTTCACCAGCACTCTGGGAAAAGGAAATCAAATTGTTGTTTTGCGACCTCTGTATCAAAGAAATTGA